GAAGGCCGAGCGCTGCCCGCCATGGCGCCTCGCCGGGCGGCGGGGCCGAGCCCGAGCTCTGCTCCTTCCGCACAGCTCCGTGTGCGGCGTCTGAGGCTTCTGACTGCGGCCTCTCGGCCTCGTTTTCACACTGCGGTAAGCAAACGGCTTGTAACCCTGTGAGTAAACTGCCTGTTTTCCCCCCTAGCATGTCCAAAATACTGAAATGTGCTGGAAACGAAGACATCATAACTCTCAGAGCTGAAGACAATGCGGACACATTGGCTCTAGTGTTTGAAGCACCAAGTGAGTGTTAGATTTGGGAGCTAATCTGCTACCGTGGTATTTTTAGGTGATAAAGACAGACCAAACAGATGCTGGGGTGGAGGAAAGAGAAGAAAGACTTCAGAAATGGGAGGGGTCACCTGATACTTCATGTCTTGAAACAGGCTGGAGGTATAAGCTTAGTCAACTTGACTGCATACTTTCTTTGTAAGAGAGACTCTTTGTTAGGCCACAGACAGATGCTCTTGGCAAGCTCCTGTCCTCTCACAGCCTACAAAAGGCTGTTTGGGTCACTTCCAGATTTCTAGCTTTAACTAAACAGGGTGGATCGTAACAAAAGTGCTTTTACACGGACAAGAAGGGGCAGAAGTTAAATTCAGGATGGTAACTTCTTGGAAACACTTGGTTAAACTGTGCTTTGCTTCTTCAGATCAGGAAAAAGTGTCTGATTACGAGATGAAGTTAATGGATCTCGATGTGGAGCAGCTTGGAATTCCAGTAAGTAACGGCTCGAAAGACTGAGTGCACTTGTCTCTTAGAAGTGGGTGTTTTCCCTTGTCACATCACATGTAAAGTTTGAGCTTGTAACATAACTTCCTTCGGAAGGACAAGCTCAAGGGTAGCAAGTTTAATTGTGACACTTCCTTTGCAGGAACAAGAATATAGTTGTGTGGTGAAAATGCCCTCTGCTGAATTCGCACGCATCTGTAGAGATCTCAGCCACATTGGCGATGCGGTCGTCATCTCCTGTGCAAAAGACGGTGTGAAATTTTCAGCTAATGGAGAGCTGGGAAATGGAAACATCAAGCTGTCGCAGACCAGTAACGTGGATAAAGAGGAGGAAGCTGTAAGTTAAGTCTTCGTGGTTACTGTGGTGTGTTCAGTGTTGAGGTTTCCACCAATAACAACTAATTCCCCAGATTACTGGGGGCTAAAGCTGGACCATTGGATCTCTGGTTTATAGGTAAGAGTCAGCAGATCTTTGCCAACTTTAGGTCCCTACCTGGGGCCTGCAAGCAGTGCTCAGCAGAACAGTGGGAGTAGCACTGCAACTGCCTTTGCATGAGGTGGCTGGGTCTGTAGTGCTGAATCACAGACTGGTTTGGGTTAGAAGGGACCTAAAGACCATCCAATTCCAACCCCCCTGCCATGGGCGGGGACACCTTCCACTAGACCAGGTTGCTCCAAGCCTCATCCAGCCTGGCCTTGGACACTTCCAGGGTTGGGGCATCCACAGCTTCTCTGGGCAACCTGTCCCAGTGCCTCCCCACCTTCTCTGGGAAGAATTCCTGCCTGATATGTAATCTAAACCTCCCTATTTTCAAGTTAAACCCGTTGCCCCTTGTCCTGTCCCTACAGGCCCTTGTAAAAAGTCCCCCCCAGCTTCCTTGTAGCCCCTTCAGGCACTGGAAGGCTGCAGTAAGGTCTCCCCGGAGCCTTCCCTTCTCCAGGCTGAATCATTTGAGAGGCTTGAGGGACTTGCTGTGTTTCTGATTTCTCGCCTGACTGATGGTTTTCTAGGTTACAATAGAGATGAACGAGCCCGTCCAATTGACCTTTGCCCTGAGGTACCTGAACTTTTTTACCAAAGCCACCCCCCTGTCCCCTACAGTAACACTCAGCATGTCTGCAGATGTTCCTCTGGGTAAGTAGAAGCAGCTCCCCTTGAATCTGCTCGGACGCTGCCACCTTAGCGCTGCGTTACCGCGTGGCTCTTCTGAAGGACCTTCTGAATACTCTGTGTGTTTCTTTTTCCCAGTTGTGGAGTACAAGATTGCTGATATGGGACACTTAAAATACTACCTGGCTCCAAAGATTGAAGACCAGCAAGAAGGCTCTTAATTGGACTTGAGGGGGAGGTGTGGTCAGCTCCTCGGCGTGGAGGAGGAGGTGGTGGTAGCAGTTTCAGTGCGTTGGAGCATCCCAGGAGCACTGTTAGGCACGATGTGTAGATATCTTTGTAAATATTTTTCAACTTGCTGTTTTGCTATACTGGCGTCATTGGAAATACTCAATTTTGTGTTCTCTAGTCTGTTCCTGTACTGCAGTAATCTCTTAGGTGCTGTCTAAGGTGAAGTACCCAAATCCTTGACCTCTGCTGGAGAAGGGTGCTGTATTTGAGTGGAGCTGATGTTGCCTGCTTTCACCTGCGGAGCTGTAGTTGACTAGGGTTGCTCTTCAGTTATTTGACTTTACTCTGTTTATTTTTGAAGCTGGTATTCTAATTGAAACTTGGAAAAAAATGGAAATAAAGAATATAATTTCATGGGTTTTACCCTCTTTACCTGTGGCTGGATGAATGAGTGCTTTGTCAAACTACACTAAGGTGCCCTGGCTCCTTTTTTGAAGGAAATGCAACAGGCAAACTTGTGCTTTTTTCCCTGTGTGCCGGAGTCAGCAGCTTCTGCTGGGATTGGTTTATGGAAGGGGAGGGGGGTGGTTACCATGTGAGTGAGCAGTGGGTCCGTGATGCTGTTTGCCCTGAGCACGGCTCTGAAGCAACACCTTCCTGAACCGTGGAGCTGGCTGTAGCAGGGACTGTTGGTGCAGCTGTTGCTCTGGCTCTCGGTGAAGTCTGGGAGAGTGTAGGCACCGGGTGTTGCGGTGACTGGGTGGAAGCTCCTTGGTCTGACGGTGAGCTGCGGGCGGCCTCCCTGGGTTTGGCTCTGATTTCTGGCAGGAAGCTGCTCCATGACAGGTCTGCGAGCAGCTTGCCCCGGGCGCCCTTGTCCCACCTGTTCAGTGCAGCGCGCTGCCCGCTGCCGCCAGCGGTTCCTCTTGGTCAAGGGTGTTTGTCATCGTGTTCACAGAACCTTCTAGGCTGGAGAAGACCTTTCAGATCAAGTCCAAGCACTTACTGTTGATGAAGATAAACTGTTTACAGCATGTTTCACCCTGCAGGTTTGATGATGGAAAATGGGATTTGAAAAGCGTTTTGGGCAGCTAGCGTGGTGGTTCTTCCTTGGCTTGCGGTATTGGTGCCAGCCAGCCATAAATCCTTACCCTCTGGGGTCTGGGTGGCTCCCCTGTGTCACAAATGGGGAAACACTGGGAAGCTCTTCCCTTGGCGTGGTCAGTAGTGCTGTGGGCTGCTTGGAAGCTCTTCCCTTGGCGTGGTCAGAGCTGTGGTCAGTAGTGCTGTGGGCTGCTCGGTTTTCAGGGGGCCGAGTCCTTCCACCGGGCAGCGGTGTGAGTGTTGGTGCCTGGAACCCGGCTGACGTAGCAGCAGAACTGCACAAGGTGGCAGTGCCGATCTGAGAAACGGGTTCTGCTGCGGTTCCCACCGAGGGAAACCTGTCCCTCCCCAAAGCTGGATGCCTGCACCCTCGATTCTTCATTGCTAGTAGCACTGCTGTTAGAGAAGGTGTAGGCTCTGGTTTTGGCCTGCTGGGGTGCAGGGGGCTCCATGCTGAGCCATGTCTCCAGACCATGCCCCACTCGCAGCGTCTGAGCCTGCTGACGAGCTCGGGACCCGCGAGAAGGCGGCAGGGCCTTCGGCTGCCCTGATGTTCAGCAGCTGGCCAAGGTAGTGCCCAGAACAGGAGTCACCAGGAAGCTTTTTCCCTCCAAATGTGATCCTTCTCAACCTGGATCGCCATCGTGGGACCCACGAGCGCAGCAAACAGGTGCTCCAGTGGGGAGTCTCTGATTCATGATGGACTAGGGAAGGATCCTAATCCAAAGGACTAGGGTACAAATTGAAAACAGGGAGGTTTAGATTAGATATCAGGAAGAAATTCTTCATAGAGAGGGTGGGGAGGCACTGGGACAGGTTGCCCAGAGAAGCTGTGGATGCCCCATCCCTGGAAGTGTCCAAGGCCAGGCTGGATGAGGCTTGGAGCAACCTGGTCTAGTGGAAGGTGTTCCTGCCCATGGCAGGGGGGGTGGGACTAGATGATCTTTAAGGTCCCTTCCAACCCAAACCATTCTGTGATTCTATGATCCAGGTTGTCGGTGATGCGTGTGAACTGGGCTAGTTTCTGGTGGAACCTCCTGCTGGCGTGGGGGTTACTCTTGGTTGTGCTGTTCTGCTTCTAAACACGCTGTAAAGAAACATCACCTCGTGTCACAAGAAACACCCTTCAACACCAGTGTCTAGGCACTTGTGTCTGCTTTCTGGCTAGATCCTTAAGGCAGCTTTGCTGTTGCCATGCCCAAATGCTGACGGTGTTCCCTAAAAATCCCACAAAAGCCGGGGGGGTGTAGTAAATGCTGCGGTGTTTCTCTGTGTTGGAGCGTCTGCTTTGGGCGTTTATTCAGATTTTCTGACCAAGGGGAAAAGAAGGGAGGAAGGGGGAGGGATGGAGAATTCTTTGAAACCTATGGAGATGAGGCTTTTCTGAATCCAGTGTGTATTTTCTTATGTTACAGGGACTGGAACCGTGGCAGTGTTGGCGGTCACACTGTTTGGAGCAGTCGGAAGTAGATCCCAGCTGTGTTTCACCTGTTACTGAGAATTTTCTGGCTATTCCTGGTCTGTCCCTTCCTTCTCCCTCACGGCAGGCTGTGCTGCCTCTGGCAGTTTAACTGTGTCCGGATCTTCCCACAGGAAAGCAGCTGGATTGTGAAGCCTCCCCAGGGGTGATGCATCCGAACGCGCTGCTCGTAAGCCACCGACGCCCTGAAAGGCCAGCTCGGGGTCGTGTCACCCTGCCCAAGGACACCGATTCCGGCTGATGCTGTGGAGCACGAGGCTGAGAACGGCCCGGCGGAGCTGAGCCAGCGAGAGGCCGCGGCCATACCCTGGAAGGAAATGACGGCCATGGGCATCAACTTCCTGGGTTGCTGCGCGGCCAGCGCGGCGCGGAAGAGAGGCGGCAGCGGGGGGGGGGAGGTTTTTTTGGGTTTGACCAGCAGCACAAGGAGTAGGTAACAGTCTTTTTGGGTGTTTTAATGAAGGACTGAAGCTGCAGCCTGCAGGTCTGGGGGAGTTCCCAGACATGTTGTGAACTTCCTGTTCAGCTGCAGAGAAACCATTTCAGGGTTGGAGCAGGGGGAGGGGTTGGGGCGTTCATCGAGTGGCGTGAGGTTTGAGCTCCCGAAAGGGCAAGAAATAACAGCCCCCTTCCTTCCTCATTCCTAGGCAGGGAGGATAGAAAAATACATTGCTCTTATTTAGGGGCCGGGCAGGATTTTGGCTGGAAGCGCAATATTTGTGTTTACTGGTGAGCTCCCCCCCCCGTGAGCTGCGCTCGACCCTGGGAGCCTTCCCCCGGTACTGCGGGTTCTGGCTGCATTTAAAACATGACCGTAGTGCATCGTGCTCGAAAATGTGAATTACGAGCACGAAGCACCATTTATGTGCTTCCTGGAGCCCAGCACTGAGCTGGTTGCTGATCCTGAACCAGCACAAGGAGAATGAAACGTGGTGGACTTGAACCCAGCCCTGCAGCGTGAGCTCTGAGAGTGTGTGTGTTTGGCCTTAATTGCCTCTTTCTTATTGTAAGCAAGGTAGTGGGAAGGGCCGGACAGTTTACGCAAGTGTAAATAGGAAATAATTCCTAGGAAGCCCCTAGGAATAGCCTGGTAAATAATGGGAGTCAGTGAGAAGTCCCGTGGCACTTGAGAGTAAAATGGGGCAGAGCCAGGAAATTTGACAGATTTCTGATGTGCTGATTTCTTTTGGCTTCTTCCCCTCCTGCACATCTACCCCCCGGGGGCGTGGGGGGCCTTGGGGGTGCTTGAGTACTGTGAGCTGAAAAGCACGGCTGTGTAAGGAGCTGAGGGGTGTGTTCCCACCCTGTAGGTGGGTGATATTTCCATCGTTGGGGCTGGGAGTGTGCTTTGGCTGTGCTTGCGTTTTGCTACAGGAAAAAAAAAAGGCAAAAAGTTGAGGTTAAAGGTACAGCTGAGGGGGTTTAAGATCAGAGGGTGTTGGGCTTAGAGCAAATTTACTGCAGGAGGAACAATCGTGATGGCAGGGGAAGGTGCCAGCGAGTAGCAGGAGGGAGACAAAGGGGGAGACTGAGTGTTTTGGGGAGGTGCTGTTAGCTCAGATGCCAGAGTGGTCTGGGAAAAGCATTTTTGGCCCTTCCTGTTGGAACAGTTGGGATATGCACTTTTCTTCATTCCGTGGTTTCTCAGAAAACAAAAAGAAGCTGTGAAAGTTGGGAAGCGTGGGAATTTACTACCTCGCTTCCGGGAATCGCGGTGGTGGGCTGCAGTGCAGGTTCCAGGCTGCGGGTGAGCAGACACCTAATGCTGAGGTGCTGCTGGCAGGGGGTGTCAGGCCCTGTTAAATGGCTCTGCCAGGAGTCAGGGATGTGTTGGAAGGCTGGATCCAGGCTTCAGCGCCTGAGAAGTTGGTCTCTGAGGTGCAGAGACCCTCTGCCCCTCTCCCCGGGGCTGGCACTGCTGGCAGGAAGCCGCAGGGCTTGGCTTCCCGGCGTGGTGAAATTGCAGGGTATGGCTCTGGCGTAACTAAATAAAGCTCTGCCATGGACGCTGCCTCCTTTGCAGCCAGCCAGACGAGTGACCCAGGCTTTTAGCTCCTTGCCAGTTTTTTGGTGACCTCATCTACTAACCGCTCCATCCCCTTGTCATCCTCCCTCTGAGTCATGGCTCGAGCTGTCTCGGGAACGACCGCTCCATTTCATTCTAGTTTCCAGTGGGTTTTTTTTGCAAAATGAATCGATTGCAAAATATCCGGCTGGTTGAAAAGCTGCTTTGTTTAGTTCTGGTTTGGGTTTATTTGCTACTGTCCCTGTTTAGAAATAGCTGGACCACAGACATCTCCCTGCTGGAAGTGTGATCTCCTTGTGAAAGGAGCTGGTTTACGCATTGTATATTGTTCTGGAATTTCTGTCTTGTTTTAAACACAAGTTCTACCTTAGTCTGACTTGACTTTCAAATGTTGCCAAACCCCATTGCAGCTTTAGTCATGCTTTTGTATTTTAGGCTTAAATACAAAGCTTTGCTTGAAAAGATGTTATTTATGAAAAGAATAAAGATGCCTTGTGGTTAGGACAGGCTTGACACTTTTGTTTCCTTAAGAAACCTGGTCTGTGTCTCTCGGACTCTGTGATAGAGTTTGCTCTGATATTTTTTGCCATTCTCTTGTTTTCCAGGCTCTAGCTGATGCCCAGGCTTCCTGCTAATGATGCCGTCACGTACAAATCTGACTGCTGGGATTCCCAGTAGCAAAGTCAAATATTCCAAACTCTCCAGCACTGATGATGGATATATCGACCTGCAGGTAAAAAGTGGGGAAGAAATCCTCTTTCTGCTGCTGCTCTGACTGTGAACTGCCAGGAAGGGCTGCTCTAGCACGTGCATGGGAGGCTGCTTTTGTGCTCACCTCCGGCAGAGCAGCCTCAGATCAGAAAGGCGCAAAGCTAGCTACCAGCCACCACATCAGCCCTTCTCCTGAAAGCCCGTAGAGCTTAACTGGAAACAAGACTGCTCGTTTCATTGGGTCAGATGCCTTTCTTCGGAGGGGGATGAAGATTGGAGCAGAGCTGGAAGCAGTGGGTATAAACGCTGGCTCAGACAGCAGGGTTTCCACGGGCAGGATTCCTCACCCAAGGGCCGTTACAGAGCCCTGCAGCAGAGATGCTGCAGGTTTGTCCCATGGCATCTCTGCCAGCTGTGGGATTCGCATCTCTGCCGTGGTGGGGAGGGGAACTGTGCTGAGTTAAGCTGCTTCATACTTGGGTTTTTTTCCATCCAGTTCAAGAAGAGCCCACCAAAAATCCCCTACAAGGCAATTGCATTGGCTATTGTGCTCTTCATGATCGGGACCTTCCTCATCATCATAGGAGCCCTCCTCTTGGCAGGATACATTAGCAAAGGCGTAAGTGACTTCATTCCCCTTCTGTTTGGAGTTTTGCATTGCTTGCCCATTCCTCTGCTGTCGTGTTCAGCAGAACTTCAGAGCCCAGAAGGAAGTCACCCCCTGCCCTGCCTTGCTGTGCTCGCTGGCAGCGCTGCCCTCTGATGTCTTCAGTTAGCAGGTCTGGGGCGGGTTCATGGCTGGGTTGGAGATCATAGAATCACAGAATGGTTTGGGTTGGAAGGGACCTTAAAGATCATCCAGTTCCAACCCCCCTGCCATGGGCAGGGACACCTTCCACTAGACCAGGTTGCTCAAAGCCACATCCAGCCTGGCCTTGAAGACAGCCAGGGATGGGGCATCCACAACATCTCTGGGCAACCGGTCCCAGTGCCTCACCCCCCTCTCCGTGAAGAATTTCTTCCTGATATCTAATCTAAACCTCCCTGTTTTCAATTTGTACCCGTTACCCCTTGTCCTATCACTACAGGCTCTTGTAAAAAGTCCTCTCCCAGCACCCCTGTAGCCCCTTCAGGTCCTGGAAAGCTGCAATGAGGTCTCCTCGGAGCCTCCTCTTCTCCAGGCTGAACAAGCCCAATCTGCCAGGGAGGGCTGAGTTTCCTGTGCTCCCTGGGGTACAGTTTCATTTTAATGCTACATCCCTGCAGAGGCCAGCTTGCTCTCCTGGGAAGACTTCAGGCTGGGTTCATCACTCTCCTAGTGAAGATTATCTGGTAACTTCTGCAGGAGATACCAACCACTACACAGGACACAGCCCCACTTGTCTCATCCCTCTGTGTTTATGATCTGTGGAAAGGGGCTCTTCGTAGCTGCCGTGGTGCTCCTCTACGGCACGCTGCCTTTATCTAGTGCCGTATGGAATTGCTTTACGGTTGGCAGCTGCTGCTTATCGCTGTGGAAACAGCAGCATTGTGGCTGTATGGGAAGCAGTCCAGGCACAGATAGGAGAGCTCGCTCTCGGCCGGGCGTGCAGCGCCCAGCCTGTGGCATGATTGGTGTTAGGAGGAGCGTCCCCTTCTATCCAAAGGAGAAGTTCTGTTGAGGGTGTCCTGTAGCCAGGAGGAGATGCTAGGGAGAGGGCTTCAATCGAGCTCAGCCTGGAAACAACAGATATTTCTGATTTAAGATGAATTTTCATTTCTTATCAGCTAGCCAGGCCCTAGGGATGAGCAGCTGAGGCAGGAGTTAAGAAAAAGGAAAGACACCCCCCAGTACAGATCTCTCACTGCACTTGCCTATCTTTCCTCTGCAGGGAACGGACCGTGCGATCCCTGTGCTCATCATTGGGATCCTTGTATTTCTCCCAGGCTTCTACCACCTGCGCATCGCGTACTACGCTTCCAAAGGCTACCGGGGCTATTCCTACGACGATATCCCAGATTTTGATGACTGAACGATGTATTTAATCGTGTTATACTTAGGCTGGCGGTAAGAGCTGTTAGTTACCCTGGGTAGCAGGGGGGCTGTGAGATTGTAGATGCCGCTGTCAGTCACAAGATGCCAGTTCCTGCTTTTGAGGTGTTGGGGGGCGAGGGCTTGATAGGCCAGAAGGATTGCAACATTAGGTGGGAAGAACATGTGATTTATTGTATTTTTCCTCTTTTGGTTACATAATGCTGGTTGCTTGTAAGTTCTTCTTGAGCAAGGCAATTCAAGCAGTTTTCCAAAAATAGATGAGCCGGTTTCAGCAGCAAAGATAATTGTTTTTTCAAGCTGTTTTATAGGGTTTATTTTAGTTTTCAAGGAGATTGTGGATACCATTGGCTTTACCCTTGCGGACAAACCCCATAGTTAAATTCTCCTTTTGCTCTGTCCCTCAGAAATGCTTCCAATCTACTTGTCCTGTGCTCCTCTGGGGTAACGCAAGTCAGACGTGTACAGGAGGGGGGAAACTGCACTTGCATGAAAAATAATGTGCACGTATTTGTGCATTTGCTATGCAACTCCTCTTGTCAGACCGACCAAGCTTGTTTACTCAGCAAACACATCCTTCAGAAGCAAGCCGTTGCCCGTGCCACTGCTGCTCCTGGCGAAATCCACTTGCCCCTTAAAGGGACTGTTGGATTTTGCTTATTATTTGAAACAAACCGAATGGGTACACGGAAAATTGGAATCTGGACCAGGAGGCAAGTGTCTAAATACCAAAAATCTTGGTTTTGCGTAGTTGTGGGTATTGAAAGACACTTGAATTCCAGCTGTCTATATGTGTATTTGGAATCATCTTGTCCTTGACTAGATAATATGCTGTCCATAACTCCCTAGACCAGTCAAAAGAAAATATCTGTATAGTTTATACTGAATAAATCCCGTTTGTATTGTTCTGCTAGCTTCAGTGGTATGTTATTCAGGGAAAAGAGATCAGAAGCTCTGTTTTATGTAAAGTAAAAACTGTCTCTCCTGAATGAACTCAGTGTCCCGGAGAACAAGTACGTGATGAGTAGTGATGCAAGTAGATGTATTTGATATGAATAAACTTCACTATATTCTGTGTACAAATTGTAAGCTTGTCTCTCACATTCACAGATCTCGCTGTGCCCTAAAAACTGTTCTGGGCAGCCAGATTAAGGCTTTAGCTGAATCTGCCATGTCCTACTGCTTCCAATTGCTAATGTAGTCACTGCAATCAGCATTAGGCTTTGCTGAGCCAGCAGCTTTGGAACAGCTCCATCTGCTCTCCAGGACCCTGGGGTGGCTTGGGGCAGAGCTGGGGAGCTGGGATTAGTGCAGCAATCCAGAGTGCCCTGGGCGCGGTGGGAAAATGTGCCACGTCAGAAGGTCAGGAGTCGCTTTCTGAACCTCACGCGCAGTCCTTACTAAATGTGCAAAGACCCCAGACTTGTAACTGCTTTGTTTCAGGGTCCAAACGTCCAGTTCCTTTTGCTGTGCCAGGTAACAGGAGCGGCGTCTGTCTGTGTGGGCCGCGCAGGCTGGCCCCGGTACCCCAGAGCTGGCCCCGGTACCCCAGAGCTGGCAGCTGTGCCTCACGTGGGCTGACAGTTTGAGAGAAGAGGGGCACGTGTGGCTGTGAGTGCAGAGCAGGTCCGTGGAAGCGTTGAGAACGGCGCTGGATGAATGCCCTGCGCTGCAAGTACTCTTCAAATTCACCTTTTTTCCTCCTCCGATGTTCTAGATGACACCCAAAACCTGAGCCAAGATTTCTTTTTTTTTTTTTAACCTACATCTCTTCCCTCGTTTGACTTAATTGGCTTGTGTGTGCCCCAGTGATGTACTCTGAGGAGTAACTAATTGAATTCAGGATCTCCCTTTCCATCTCTGAAGGCAACGACTGTGCACGTTCGCTCCTGCTTTGCTGCGTCACGTCGGCCCTTGCCCGTCTCACGTTCCCGACGCTGCAGCCCTTGGGTCAAGGGCAGCCCCGCTTCCCAGATGTTGGCAGCAGCTGAAACGTGTCAATTAAAAGCTGGGTCTGGCCAGGAATGTGGCTGGTGACGCAAACCCATGAATCACCCTCTATTAGGGGATAAGAGTGTGGGTTTGTTTGGTTTTTGGGAAAGGGCAGAGGAAGTAGAAGGGAACTTTAGATGGAAAAGGGAGAGGGAGAAGATGCTTTCAAGTGGAGCTGATAAGATGCAGAAAGTTGGGAAGCCTGGGCTGGCTAACCCACGACAGAAGGGTAAGTAAATGTAGGACAGGAGAACATGCTGACATTTCTGGAGGAAAGGCAGTTAATTAGTTTATTTTTTTATTTGACAGAAGCAAAGTCCTCAGGCAGCACAGTGTGTAAATAAGAACAGTCCCTGCCCTGATGCTCGCGGGGCTGCCCGTAAGAGGGATGGCCACAGGAAAACTTTCCTCGCCACAGGGATTGTTTCATGTCTAATTTGGGAAAAAGGAGACACTTCTGGGGAAAGCAAAAAAGGTATGTGAACCACAGGAAAATGCAGATCCAGATGACTTCATTCTTTGAGTTGACATACTGCATTCTAAGCACAGTTTTGCTCCAGAGTATAAGTCTCAAATGATGTTCATAGATGTTCAAATGTCTGTTAATTGTCTCGCTGTAGAGCAGCTGATAGCCAGGGTCCCGTTATCTCTTGGGAAATAGCACGACTTCACATGTGTTTCCTGAGACTGGAAAATGGTACTGCAAACAGGTTGTTTCTGAGCTGGGTCCATACCGTGGCAGCTGTGCTGCGCTGATGTGGGTTTGAGCATAAATTACAATAGGATCTTTTTCATCCCACCCCTGCCGCTCTGAGGACCTGTGTGCGGGATTTGCACGGCTGCCTTGGCTCCTTAGCCGCCTTCCCTGACTGCAGCTGTATCCTTCCCTTGACCCCAGGGGCCAGAAGCTGCTGCCAACTCCCCTCCCCCAGTTAATGGCTCTGCTCCTCTGTTCCCTCTCTGTAAAATCCCGGGTGTTGTGGGTTTGGGGAGAGCCGACTGACTCACTGCAGTGGTGAGGGTAGTAGGAAAACACCTGCACAGAAGCTTCTGGTTCTAGAGCAGGGCTTGGTACTGGCTGGGCACGGAGGGATGAGGGTGGTACTGGATGCTGTTTCTTTCATTGAGCATCATCCATTCTGAGCACTCGGCAGCTGTCTCGGGAGGGAAAACCAGTCTGTGTTTCTGTAGCCTGATGGGGCATTATTATGGAGAGAAGCTCTAGAGAAAGAACAGGCACCCAGATTTTATGCTTTTCTCTAGTCTGAGTGCTTGAATTCATGGATCCTCAGTGATGTTCCTCTCCTGCTGTGGTATGGTGTATTTATACAGTCATACTTAATACCATAATGTTGCTGGAAAGACATTTGGAAGTGTGATTCTAGAGTCCTCTGACCTGAGCTAGCAGCCATCCCAGAGAAATTCCCCCAGTGTATCATTTATAAAGGCAAAGACTCATTTAAAGAAATCTATTTTATATTTTTTACTGCCTGGAGTGAGCAAAACTAATGAAAGTTCCCAAGCATCATCACAACAGAGGACACTTCCCCTGTATAGACAAGCTGTGTGAAACTGTGAATAAAGTGGGGGGAACAAACAAGGTGGCAGTGGAAACCAGCCTTGGGTAGCTGCAGACATGAACTGCAAGCCTTGGGAGCTGGTGCTAGATCCAAACTGGCTCTGCTCTCCATTGGCAATGTTACTGTTATTAGCATTCTGTGCTCCCCAGGGCGGGATGGGGCCTGTTCCTCTTCTCTTCAGGAGGCTCCTTACCACTGGTGGTAGTGCAAATGCCACCAGCTGAGAGAGAGGCGGCACCAGTGGCTCCTGGCTCAGGGATGCCATGTGTAACTCAGTTTCTATTGGCTCCCACAGCCGGTTTCCCTTGGGAAGGGACGTCAGGCAAGGCTTGTACCGGGTGGTGACATTCAAGTGTGTAGCTGAGGAGTCAACCTGCTGCCCACCCACCTGCTGAGGGAGCTCAGCGGGCTTCCAGGAGGGGCTGCACAGGCAGACATGCTGCTAAAAGCGATGGTCTCAGCCAGCTGGATAAGGCTGGGGACAGCGAGGGTTTGTAGCAAGCATCGGAGCCAGGGCTGCATCTCTAAGGTCTGGCTAATGCCCAATCAGCGACCCTATCGAAGGTGCCTGCCTGAAAGGGGCTCTGCCACGTGGCAAAAAGCAGAGGGATGGAGATAAACCCAGCAGTGGGAAGGAGCCACAGGAAAAGCCAGAATTAGCCAAAGTGTTGTGCAAACAATTCTAATAACCCCCCGAAGGGGCAGAAATTGTGCTTCTGTAGGTTGCTTGATGTGGTGGAGCAGTGAGGAGTTTCACCAGCCGGGAGACTGCCTGGGCCTCAGGTCCAAGTGAAGCCAGAGCCAGGAAGGGCTTATGCCATCCCAGTCTCTCAAATCTTTGTTTTTAAGGTTTGTGGAGCCAGCAATGTTGTGTTCCTTACAAGCTTGGATTTAGATTCTTAGATTTAGATTCTTAGATTTAGAATGATGCCCTCATCATTCCCGTAGAGGATGAGGGCATCATTCCCTCTACGAGGAAGCAGCTGCAGTCTGATCCAGGAAAAGGCAGTACAAATGCTCCAGGCAGCAACTTCACTTGTGCTACATGTATTTTTTGGCATCAATGTCAATCCTTTTCTCTGAGATTCTCCATGTGTTTGTGTTGAGGGAGGTTGATGAGATGGGGAGAAGAGCAAGGCCCATCGCTGGTCCCGTGGTGACAAGAGGAAACTTGAGTTTCTAAGTCCTCATTTGTCTTTCCTTGGCAGTGATTTGCATTTCCTCTTGCTCTTTCGATACCCTCATCCTCGGGGCCAGGCTGGGTGTTGTCCTGTTGGACTGTCCGCAGAGCGCGGTGGTTGCAAGGAGGCTGGGCTGGCCGGCAGGTTACTGGTCTTAGTCCTGAAAATATTTTAGTAGAAGTTGTGTGAAACGTCTGTGGAGATGAGGGCGAGAGAATGTGATGAGT